CTTGGAGAAAATTGTGGCTAGAATGTGTCCTTGAGGAGGATTTTGAAGAGTTTGAGGCTGACCCTGATGATCCTATGTCTGTTGTGGAATCTATTGTGTCTTTGGGAAAGTCCATGGGGTTGGATGTGAGTGGCCAGGATGTGGAAGAGTTGGTGGATGACCACAGGAAAAAGATAACCACTGATGAGCTGCAAGACCTTCAACAGGAACAGCAACAGACTGCAGCTGAGGAAATTGCTTCAGAGGAGGAGGAAGAGAGAGGGAAGAATGTGTCTTCTTCAATGATTAAGATGTGTGCAAAGTGGAATGAGTTGCAAAGTTTTGTGGAGAAATATCACCCTAACAAAGATGTTGCAAGCTGTGTCTGCAACATGTTCAATGACAATACCTTGTCCCATTTTAGGCAAATCTTAAAGAGACACCAGAAACAAACCTCTCTGGACAGATTTTTTGTGTGACAGAGGTCCAGTGACTCTCAAGCTGGTCCTAGTGCCAGTAAAAGACAAAGAAGGGAAGTAACTCCGGATAGGGCCTTGATACCTAATTTCCTTATGGATGGGGATTTCCCTTCCAAACAATAACATCTCCTCTTCCCTCTCCCCTCCTCGCCATCTTCCATACGCCAACAAGAGTTTTCAGTAAAGGTAAAAGTGATGTTAAATGTTCATTTATCCAATTCATTAGTTATTTATATATATTTTTCATTGTTATTCTGTACATAATGTATTTTTTGGGTGTCTGGAACAGATTATTTGGATTTACATTATTTCTTATGGGAAATATTGCTTCAGTTTTCGTACGATTCGGTTTTCGTCAGACTTTTTCGAACAGATTAATCACAAAAACTGAGGTTCCACTGTATATGTAAAGGTTATAGGTCTAGAAGCATTTAAGAAATGTGTTTGTCATGAGGAAGATAGCAATGAAAAAATATATGTAGGTTAATACTCAAATAAATAATACAGGTAGTGTTTTGATTATACATTATTAATTCTAACATGAAAAGTTTACACTCAGTTGTTTATTGAAGAAGGTAATATTCATTGCTAGAGTTGTTTGACCCATATTGGTTTAATTAATGTTTTTTATGAACATAACGATAATAATCCTTTTCATTGCTTTTCCTGTTAAAGTACAGGTATCACATATTCACAGATCAGGGAAGATTAGAGCCAGTATCTGTTGAGGTGAAATCTGACAGAGTAGGCTTGGGATGGCAGGAAATGATCGCTGAGCATCGCAAAAAATGTGAAGAAAGAAAACAAAAGAAGAGAAACAAAAATAAGGATGATGCAGATCCAGAAAAATATCGGTCAGTGAACAGTAAAGTAATGGTGATAGTTTGAAATTTGAGTACAGTGGTAGGTTTGAATGTACATTGAGTGTGTTCTTCATAATACTGTTTCCTATAGGAGGAAGAGACTGGGATATCCAGGTGATAATTTGTACTCTCATAATAAGTTTCTAGGACATGAGCTCAATCCCAGGAGAGCTGAGATGTATGAATAAGTACCCTTACAACTGCTTCTGTTCACCAGCAGTATAATAGGAAATAGGTACCTGGGTGTTAGCTAACTTTTGTACAGTGATATCATCCTGGGAAAGAGGATCAGTGGAATAAGGCACACTGCCTGGCTTTCTTGGGTTGTCCTGGGTGATAGGCCTCTGTGGTTAATAATTCAAAGTAAATCTTTGTCTTTATCTCTCCCATTTAGGGATGTGCATTCTTGCACTGCTGTATCACTGACTTTCCAAAAGTTTTGTTGTATAACTTTGTCTGTTATCTTCTTGTGTTATACAGTACTATTATATTACCCCATTACTTTGTAGTACTGTATTTCATTTGTGCATGGGTGTATTGTCATTGACTTAATCAATGCTTTATTTGTTTTAGCGTTGCTTGAGTTTTGAGATTTGTCCAGTCATAAACTGTAGAGGACAGTTTACCAAGAACTTTTCATCAACATGAATTTGGTAAACTGTTCTATTTATGACTATTAGGACCATTTCTAAAATGTTTCCTTGTGTGGGCTGTCAGATGTTAGGTGAAAATTAATCTGGTACAAAATAAAGGAATTACATATTCCAGTTCACATCATGACAGGCTTTCCAGCGGTATATCTTCTCTCACAAATATGAAAGTTTTGGAAGAGGATGAGAATATTTTTAAACACAAATTTTAGTGTTTTTATTTGCAGTAATTTATAGTGCAACATTTTTCAAGACTGCTTTTTCATAATTAAATATTTTATTGCTGGTTTTAATGGTTCAAAGGTAATGTTATAACTTAGCTGATGGAGGATTGAGCCTCCACCATCCCTTTTGCTAAATAACCCACACAGTTTTAGCACTTTAAACAAAAATAATAATAATTTGAATCGTGACAATCTTTTGAGATAGGAGAACCATCTCATGTTTCACTATTGCAGTAGTAATGGGTAAAAATTTTCTTCTTCCATAACAGGGCAAGAATGCGTAGTCAAAGACAAGAAAAATATCTACAACAGGACTTGATGAAGAGCCAGCGTGTATGTTATCAAATGGATTCAAAGCAGGTGAAACATGTACAATTTGTTTATTATCTATTCCCAAAGGGGTACCTTTAACCCGTAAACGATCCAAGCAGATCTACGTTCACATGTGTAGTGCTACAAAAGTAGATCTAAGTTTTTTACACATTTTCAGATGAAGAAAAACAAAAAGAAGATCTAATTTTTTTACATACTTTCAAATGTTGAAAAAGCGTATATATACGTTTGGACCGTTTATGGGTTAAAAAACAGGTTTGCTTGCTGAAAGTGTTTACACTTTTATTTCCCAAACAAAGAGAAATGAGAGGACGAAACTCCCACTTAGAAGCCCTGTGATTAACTAGAAATAGAAAATGAGAAGCCACCCATGCGGGGCTGGCAGGATGAATTAATATAGGCTCATTTCATTTACACTGAGATCCTCTATTGACCCATAGTAAAGGCATTTGGATTTGTGTTTTTTTGTAGACTTGCCCAGTAAAGGAATTAAATGGTTGCCTTATTTTAATTTTATTTCTCCAATTTTTTTTTGTTAATGATTTAAGAATGCCTCATATGATTGGCTTTAAAGTTCCAACAGTGGTCTACTGTAACTAAAGAAAGAGTCAGGGAACTACTGACAGGTTCAGATACCCTCTAGTCTGCTATATAGAGTATTCCTGGATTTTATTTCTGTGTAATAACTAAACAAGGCTTATTCCTTTAAGAAAAAGGAAGAGTAGATGTAAAATAGAAAGAGACAGGCGCTCCCTTTACAGGCGACGGAAAAGAATAACAGAGCGGCTAAAAGAGGCCAATATATCTGAAATGCGTAGGGAGTCACTGGTCAGAGAAATAGCAAACAGGTACTATTTCAAGTTAACTGGTGCCCAAGGCCAGTGTCTTAAATTGGGCTATATTCATATATGTAGTTATTTTTCTTAAACAGGACCTGGAGGAGCCAGTAGAACCATGGTTTTGGCCGAGCTATGTTTTTAACACTGAAGAGGAGGAGGATGATTGTGAAGAGGAGGAAGACTATACTGAATTTGAGGTAAGTAAAGAAGTGATATTGGCTACAATCTGCCTTCTACCAAGGTAGGGTGACCTAGAAAGGAAATAATCTTACCATTTTTCGTTCAATAGCTGTCCTCCCTTCAGTCTGATATCCAGTCTTTCATTATATAAACTGTTTGTTACTCTTATCACCTTGCTTTTTTCTGTGCTCACTTTAAATTCCTTTCTTTTACATACCCTCCCAAATTCCTCTACTAGTCTTTGCAACTTCTCTTCAGAATCTTCCAAAAGTACAGTGTCATTAGCAGAAAGCAACTGTGACAACTTTCACTTTGTATTAAGTTCTTTTTTTTTTTATCCCACACTTCTCCCCAACACCCTAGCATTCACATCTTTACAACTCCATTTATAAATATGTATGTTAATCACCCATGGTAACATCCCACATCCTTATTTAAGGCCTACTTTTACTGGAAAATATTCTCCCTCTCTTCTACATACCCTAATCTTAGTCTCACTATCCTCATAAAAATTCTTTTACCTGCTTTAACCAATTTACCACCTATTCTTTACATCATGTGCCACATTGCTCCCAGTCCACTTTATTAGATCCTCTTTCTAAATTCATAAATGCAACAAAAACTTCCTTTCCTTTATCTAAATATTGTTCAATTACATATCTCAATGTAAACATTTAATCTACACATCTGAAACCTTTTCCTAAAACCTTGCTCATCTGCAATCCTGCTGTCTCTTACTCTTAATTTTTTTGTACACTCTTTCATCTCTTTTTATGCACACACACAAACAGATCACAAGCAGTGAGACTGCTCACTATTTATAATACTGAGTATTTCATGGAATAACCCTTCCTTTTGTAACAAGTGGCATTCCACAGGGATCAGTCTTGGGCCTGTTGTTGTTTATAATATATATCAATGATCTTGATGAGGGAATTACTAGTGATATGAGCAGATTCGCCGATGACACAAAGATAGGTAGGATAATTGATTCAAACGTAGATGTTATGGAACTTCAGGAGGATTTAAACAAACTCTATTCTTGGTCAGAAAAGTGGCAGATGCAGTTCAATGTAGATAAATGCAAGGTTCTGAAGCTTGGGAGTGCCCATAACCCTAGTACTTATAAGTTAAATGATGTAGAACTTAGCCATACAGATTGCGAAAAGGACTTGGGGGTTATGGTAAGCAGCAACCTTAAACCAAGACAGCAATGCCTAAGCGTACGTAATAAGGCAAATAGATTACTGGGATTTATATCAAGAAGTGTAAGCAACAGAAGTCCAGAGGTCATACTGCAGCTTTATACATCATTAGTAAGGCCTCACCTAGATTATGCAGCTCAGTTCTGGTCTCCATATTACAGAATGGACATAAATTCGTTAGAAAACATTCAGTGTAGGATGGCTAAATTAATACATAGCATTAGAAATCTTCCTTATGAAGAAAGATTGAAGACTCTTAAGTTACATTCACTTGTTAGACAAAGAATGAGGGGAGACCTGATCGAAGTGTATAAGTGGAAGATAGGTATTAATAAAGGGGATATTAATAAGGTCTTGAGGATGTCTCTCCAAGAGAGAACCCGCAGTAATGGATTTAAATTAGATAAGTTTAGATTTAGAAAGGACATAGGAAAGTATTGGTTTGGAAATAGGGTAGTTGATGAGTGGAACAGTTTACCTAGTTGGGTTATTGAGGCTGGGACTTTGGGTAGTTTCAAATTTAGGTTGGATAAGTACATGAGTGGGAGGGGTTGGGTGTGAGTGGGACTTTCACATCAGAGCTTATTTCTTGGGTGGCATTGAAAATTGGGTTGGGCAAATGTTTTGTTAGTGGGATGAATTGTAAAGGACCTGCCTAGTATGGGCCAACAGGCCTCCTGCAGTGTTCCTCCTTTCTTATGTTCTTATGATGCACTCCAAGTCTCCTATGTACTGATAAGGCTAACTTATGGAGGATAGAAAAAGTCATTACCCTCCCTCGCCTGCTTAATAGCACTCAAGATTATGAGGTTAGAGGACACCATATCACAAAGCTTACATTTAATAAATTTCTAAAAAATCATTTTCAGATTCAAGTCCAATGAGTTTCCAGGTCAGCCATTAAAGTATGGTAAAAATCATATTAATTGAGGCATTTCTTTGTCTTTGGTGATATGGCAAGAGACACTGTCTTCCATACAGAAGTTGCTGACACTTCTCGAATCTGTCAAGTAAATAGTCTGCTAAAGGCTTGCTTATGGATGTGCATATTTATGATGCCTACTCTGTTTATGCAAAAAAAATTTATGCATAATGAATGCATAAGAGAAAATATGACTGCATGACGGCAGCTATATTTTTGTTTTGTGGGTATGCATTCTGAATTGATGACAATGGCCATACTAGCTGGGGCTAGACTTAGTAGAGAGAGGAAAGCCTGAGAAGCTGACATGGAAATTGGTCATGGAATATTGATCATGTATCTTAAATTTCAATTACAGCCTCTCCTCATCTAGCAACGTACCTGTTTACTGACGAGTCAGACTTATGAATGGCTCTCTGCCCAGTATGCTTACCTAAATAATGCATATTACAGCTGATTTCCTGTAGTCTGTTTATTAAAATATACAGTACAGTACTGCATAAACATTTAAAAATATACTAAAAGTTTTATAATGGTACAAAGGTGACATTAAAACAGTATCAAAGATGGTTGACACAAACCCACTATCATTATAGTATGCTGTTTGCTTAGCAACGAATTCGTTTACCAACGTGGTCTCTGGAATGGAACTCTGTCATTAAGTGAGGAGAGGCTGTATATCAGAAATTCTGAAAAACTATTGTTAAATATCTAAACATGAAGTAAAAACAATGTTTTCTCATTTTTTGTATCTTTCACATTTCCCTTTAACTTCCTGGGAAGGCAACACACTTCTCTTTTTTTTTCTTTTCTAAGATAAATATCTATATGCTGGTGAATGGCTCTTGATCCAAGGAATTGAAGTAGTTCTCCCTTTTAGATTAAACCTGATTACCTTAACCCCCTCCATTCACGAGATGTTTTATGATCCTTATGGGTTTAACACTTCCCCTGGAGTATAGTAAAGATGTTGTAATACCACACTTCTTTGAGATAAAACAGGAGTAAAATGAGAGGTTCAGTGCAGCCTTCATGAACCAGTTGGTTGGTCAAACAGGCACTGGCTCTTGAGCTGCCATCAGACTTTACCTATAATTTACTGTACATGTACATACAGGAGGGTCCTGCATGTTCAGCATCCTCTTTTCGGTGTTCCACATTTTCATTGGTTTTTTAATTAACTGAGCCATTGTTCATTGTGTTCAGTGCTTTTACTGCTGTTTTTGCACAACAGTTGCATAAGGGAAGGGTGACAGGTGCCATATTTTAAGGTAAGTATTGTATGTATGGTGGTACCTCGGGATATGAACTTAATTCATTCCTGAAGGCTGTTCGAGTGCCGATACCAAACTAATTTGTTCCCATAAGGAATAATGTAAATTAGATTAATCCGTTTCAGACCCCCAGAAATACACTTACAAAAGCACTTACATAAATACACTTACATAATTGTTTGAGTTTTGAGCTGTTCGTATCCCGAGGTACCACTGTACGTACTGTGTATTTACTTTTTTGTCTGTTTTTTTATACTTAGCTGTATTGAACTCTTAATACATATATGGTAGTGGAAACATTATTAGGCATTTTAGATGCATTCAATATTGGAAAAAACTGCTCTTTTCCAACCACCGGTGATTTTTCACTTATCACACGGGGTCGGGAACTCAAGAGTCATACAAATGGAGTCCCTCCTGTACTGTGCTTGTCCATTATATTTGGCACTGTCTGTAGTAGAGAGCCACCCACCTAATCCAGTACAGGGCTCACCTGTGATACCTGTGACCAGTTTCAAGATTAGTCCAGATTACATTGTTGATTGGTCAACTAGGCTGCTGCTGCAAGCAGCCCACAGGCCAGCATAGTTGTCACAGCCTAGCTGATTTGGTACTGTTTGTAAATCAGTCTAGACTTCTAATGAAAAAATTTCCACCTTAGTTCCAGTGATACTTCTCATATCTGGATGTTGGGGATTAAAGAGTTATGAACCATAGATGTTGACAATGTTTTGTAATTTTATTTATAGTCCTCATGCTTTTCAATAAGCTTATTCTACATTTTTAAACTTTAACCATTATAGGTGATCTCTTTAACTATCTAACCTTTAATATATTCAAGTGTTTTACATCCCCAGTGTTTCTGTTTTCATCATCAGAATGTAGAACTACCAAAACCTTCATTAACGTACTTTATTTTACAGAGCCTTTTAGTTGCATAAATAAAACTGTTCTAAAAGCATTATATTGGCTCTTTTTAAAATATGTTTTATCTTGTTTTATTTATATTTTCAGCCTGAAGAGCAGCTGAATATTCTTACTGCCTACCTACGCTCTACTTACTGCTACTGTATATGGTGTGGTACTGTTTACGATGATGAACGAGACCTTAAGCAGAATTGCCCAGGAGTTACAAGAGCAGACCATGATGATTAGCATCTATATATTGAGCACTGAAATTATATGAGATTCCTAAATGAAATATAAGTGCCCTCATATGTATATGTTTTTGATGTAATTTTATACATAGGTTATATTTTAGCACATAAGGAGGGATGGAGATGGTGCAGTTTGGAGGGGCATCTAAGCTGTAATGTTGACGCACCTCTGGCAAGACAGCGATGGTGTGAATAGTGGTGAAAGTGTTTCTTCTTTTTCGGGACACCCTACCTCACTGGAGATGGCCGGTATGTTAAAAAAAGTATTTGAGTGATAAAGGAGCAAATTTTAATTTTCAAGCACCAGTTGTGTGGGCACTCAAGAAGTTATGAATACAGCCTCTCCTCACTGAACAACAGAGTTCTGTTCCTAAGGCCACGTTGGTAAACGAATTCATTGCTAAACAAGGAGCATACTATAATGGTAGTGGGTTTGTGTAATTATATTTGATATTGTTTTAAAGTCACCTTTGTACTAATTATAATATTTTCAGTATATTTTTTAATGTTTATACAGTAGTGTACTGTATATTGTAATAAACAGAATAGAGGAAATCAGCTCTAATATACATTATTTAGTTATGCATACTGGTGAGATAGCCCGTCATAAGCTTGAGTCATGAGTATGTCACCAAGTAAGTAAGTTTATTCAGGTATACACAAATACATTTATATAGATCATCATACATACCAGCATATGTGTAAAGTGGTAAGGTGATGCGTACATTGTCCTGTCTCTGGAGGCGGTATAAGGTTCGTAGGGTCGAGTCCTGGCCTGCCGCAGTTTGGTAAATTATTTAAAATCACTTGTTTCGTGATTTCATTGCTATATAGACTGCTTGTTGAGGTGGGTATTCAAACAGGAGGAGGCTGAAATTAATCCTCGAGATACCACTGCCACGAGTGTCCTCGGATCATGAGAAAAATATGTAGCTCAGCTGCATGCATGATTTTTGTAGGATCGCTGGCTCAAGTGGTAAGGCGATGTGTACATTGTGCTGTCTCTGGAGGCGGTATAATGTTCGTAGGGTCGAGTCCTGGCCTGCCGCAGTTTGGTAAATGATGTAAAATCGCTTGTTTCATGATTTCATTGCTATACAGTGGACCCCCGCATAACGATTACCTCCGAATGTGACCAATTATGTAAGTGTATTTATGTAAGTGCGTTTGTACGTGTATGTTTGGGGGTCTGAAATGGACTAATCTACTTCACAATATTTCTTATGGGAACAAATTCGGTCAGTACTGGCACCTGAACATACTTCTGGAGTGAAAAAATATCGTTAACCGGGGGTCCACTGTATATATATATTTTTTTTTTTTCAACAAACCAGCCGTATCCCACCAAGACAGGGTGGCCCAAAAAGAAAAACGAAAGTTTCTCTTTTTAAATTTAGTAATTTATACAAGAGAAGTGGTTACTAGCCCCTTGGCCCCGGCATTTTAGTCGCTTCTTACACCATGCATGGCTTACGGAGGAAGAATTCTGTTCCACTTCCCCATGGAGATAAGAGGAAATAAACAAGAACTAGTAAGAAAATAGAAGAAAACCCAGAGGGGTGTGTATATACAGTGGACCCTCAACCAACGGCATTAATCTGTTCCATAGAGCTTGCCTTTAGTCGAATTTGCCATTGGTCGAATTAATTTTCTCCATAAGAAATAATGGAAATAGAATTAATCCGTTCCTGACGCCCCAAAGTCTGAAAAAAAAAAAATTTGCATGAAATATACATTTCCTGACACCAAAACGAATGGGACAAGCAAAATAAACTATAATTAAATCCCACTTACATTTATTGTGGGGTTGTTGATGAGTGATGTGCCAGGAGCAAGGTAGATTCAGGATTGTCTATTGCTTGGAAGGAGAATCCCCTTCCATAAAGACTTCAGGTACCAAGTCCTTTGGTGGGGTTACCTCCCTTCTTGGTTTTTTAATGCCACTAGGACCAGCTTGAGTCACTGGACTCCTGTTGCACAAAATATATGTCCAGAGAGCTCTGTTTCTCATGTGCCCTTAGGATTTCCCTAAAATGGGACACAAGAGTGTCATTGTACATGTTGCCAATGTGGCTTGCAACTTCTGTGACAGAATAAAATTCATCGATAAATGCTTGCACCTTTGTAAACATTGAACACATTTCCCTAATTCTTGACGAAGTCATCTTCCTCTGTCTCTCTTCATCCTGCTCTGAAGAACATTTCTGAGATGTGATCTGTTGCTGTTGCACCTGAAGCTCTTGCAGGTCTGCAGTGGTTAGTTCTTCCTCGTCATTCTGCACCAACTCTTCCACATCCTCGTCACAAACCTCCAACCCCAAGGACTTCCCCAATGACACAATAGCTTCCACTACTGGCATAGCCTCCTGAGGGTTAGCCCCAAACCCTTCAAAATCCCTCTGTTCTACACATTCTGGCCACAGTTTACACAACTGAGGATATTGAAGTGATCTTTCCAAAACTCTCTTAGGGTCAGTTGAGTGTCTGAGGTCACTTCAAAGCACTTTTGAAACACTGCTTTTGTGTAGAGTTGTTTGAAGTTTGAAATGACCTGCTGGTCCGTGGGCTGGAGGAGAGGAGTTGTATTAGGAGGCAAAAGCTTCATCTTAACGAAACCAAACTCCCCTGTAATTTCCTCTTGCAAGTCGTGAGGATGAGCAGGAGCATTGTCCATTACCAGGAGGCACTTGAGTGACAATTTCTTTTCCTGGAGGTAATTTTTTACAGTGGAGCCAAACACACCATAAAACCAGTCCAAGAAAAATTCCCTAGTGACCCATGCCTTACTGTTTCATCTCCACAGCACACACAAATTACCCTTGATGATAATGTTTTTCTTGAACACTCTGGGAGTATCAGAGTGATACACCAATAAAGGCTTCACTTTGCAATCACCACTAGCATTACTACACAACATTAATGTCAGCCTGTCTTTTATAGGCTTAGGTCCTGGGAGTGCCTTTTCCTCCTGAGTAATGTAGGTCCTGTTTGGCATTTTCTTCCAAAACAGTCCTGTTTCGTCACAATTAAACACTTGTTCAGGTTTTAAGTTTTCAGTCTCTATGTATTCCTTAAATTTCTTCACATATTTTTCAGCCACATTTTTGTCTGAACTGGCTGCCTCACCATGCTTTACTACACTGTGTATGCCACTGCAAATCTTAAATCTCTCAAACCAGCCTTTACTGGCCTTAAATTCATCAGCAGCAGCACTATTTTGAGGCATTTTCTTAATGAGATCATCAGGCAACTTCCTTGCCTTTTCACAAATTATAGACTGAGAAACACTATCACCTGATAATTGTTTTTCGTTTATCCATACCAATAACAGTCTCTCTACCTCTTCAGTTATTTGCGGTCTCCGTTTTGAAAACATACTTGAACCTTTCACAACAACAGCTTCCTTGATTGCCTGTCTGTTCGCCAAGATAGTACTGATGGTTGAATGTGATTTGTTGTGTTGCCTTTCCAACTCAGCCATACGGACTCCGCTGTCGTATTTTTCAGTGATCTTCATTTCCATCGTAATTCTCACCCTTTTTAACACAGACTTGGCACTAGAAGCTTTCTTGGGGCCCAGGGTGGCTTATTTAGCAGTTACAAGCACTAAAAACAGTGGAATAATCCAAAATATATGGGAGGCACACGTGAAAACCGACAGCAACAGCTTGTAAACAATGGCACACAGAGTCATGGAGTGGCTGGGCCCACTCAGGCCGCGCTCCGGGCACATGGACATGTTCCGGACGAACGTTGTTGGTAGAGTTTTTCGCCGTTGGTTAAGACTTTTTTTACGTCAAAAAGCGCCGTTAGACGAAATTGCCATTACTTAATGCCACCGTTAGTTGAGGGTCCACTGTATATGCTTGTACATTTATGTGTAGTGTGACCTAAGTGTAAGTAGAAGTAGCAAGACATACCTGAAATATTGCATGTTTATGAGACAAAAAAGACACTAGCAATCCTACCATCATGTAAAACAATTACAGGCTTCCGTTTTACACTCACTTGGCAGGATGGTAGTACCTCCCTGGGTGGTTGCTGTCTACCTGCCTACTACCTAGGCTTTACATAATTATTATATCAAATATAAGTGCTAAACCTATAAGGGCCATACATCACCTAGGGAATGGGAGGCATTCAGGGTTGAGCTGAGGAAGAGGAGGGTAACTCCAGTTCTTTGGATCAAGAGCCCTTCATCAGCTTTAAGGCACTCTCCTTGAAGGGAAAACTTTTGGTTTCTTTATGTGTATTTTTTTCTTTCATAAGACTAACACTCGTTTACTATATTAAGACATTCTGTTAATTATTTCTACCAGTCTTCTGCATTTTGCATACTGAGCTTGTGTCTTTCTTATCTATATGGTCACATTCCTCTCTTTTTTCATCCTTGCACTTCAGGAAATTCATGGAAATTTTTCCCCTTCTTGGAAGTGACTTTATGCTGGTAAAGGGCTTTTGATTCAAGGAATTGGAGCTTCCATCTTCTTGGATCACTATATGACTCCCATAGGTCTAGTGCCTCTCCATGAATAATCATGAATAATAATAACTATAAATTTTCAGTCATTTCTATGCCATACTGTACTTATATTTTATCTTTTACTAAACATTTTGCTTGTGTTCCAAGCTGCATCTTGTATCTTCTAACTATGATATCACCTGCCCATGACCATGGGTTCTACCCATGCAGCCTGAGCTGATGTCAGGCTTCTGTGTTGACTGCTTGGTCAACTAGGCTGTTGTTATTTGTGGCCTGCATGCCCACATAGTCATCACATCCTGGTTGATCAGGCACACTCTCAGGAGGTAATATTCTATTTGCATTCATGTGTGCTGTGCAAGTTTCATACTTTTATATAATACATGAACAAAACACTGAAATGATTAAATATTAGACTTTAATGACATACAGTATAGGACATGTTATCTAACTACCATTGGATCTGACATTGGCTGGATAATAAAATAAAAATTGGTTACTTGAACAGAATGCTACTTATATCCTGTACAGTACTTTACCATGAATAAGTAATCTACAGCAGCCATAAGTTGACTCCAGCCATATGTAGTAACTCCGAGAACCTGTTTTGTCATGCCATTCTAGTATAGATAGAAAATAGGGATATGGTAATTTACAGCTTCCATATATGTAAGTGGTAAACCATCTTAACTATATGAACTTGCTTAAAGCCCTGAATATATGTACTTTCTAGAATGAAGACGAGAATGAGTTTCATAACCTAGGAATGAAATACTTATTCTCTCCGAAGGACTGCATGCTTCCTCTGGAAAGCAACTATCAACAAACCTGACTAATAGGAGAATGGGCTAGTTAAGATGCCTGATAGTCTCCACCTGTTTCTGTAGTGAATGACCCCCTGGATACAGTGCTTAATGAAATACAATAATGGCTGTACATCTCATACTTTTTCTGTCACACTTGTTGATGCATTACCAGCTATGTACATTTGAAGTATTTATTTGAAGTGCTAAACCAATTCTGATCATACCATGAAAGGAATGGTATGAAGGGATTTGTATTATGAAATGGATATATTTCAATAGCAGTGGTGACTGTAGCTAATCAGAAGTGTAGGGAATGCCAACTATTAAAGCAAAATTTATTAGAGATGGAGATGGGAAGTATACATACAGTGCCTGTACTATGAATGAGGGGTGTTAATGTTACAGTTTTATAATCAGTGTAAGCATGCCTCTGGCAAGACAGTGAAGGAGTGAATGATGAAAGTTATTTTATTTTCGGGCCACCCTGCCTTGGTGGGAAACAGCTGATGTGTTTATAAATAAACAAATATATATTTTTTTTTTTTTTTCAAAAAGTCGGTCGTCTCCCACCGTATTAAAGATCTGCAAATAGTGAGTAAAGTTCATCTGATGACTGAATTTCAGAGTTCGAAGATAAATATATAAATCAGTATTAAAAACTAGTCAAAATTCAAAGTAGGGTAACAATACATACTCTTACAATTAATTAATTTTGTCATAAAACAGTTTCAGTATTATAAGTTATTCATTTGCCCCCTATAATGCTCAGGCATACTTACTTTGCCTGCCTTCCACTCAGATGGTTTAATTTTTGCTGCAGGTTATTTCTCAACTGACACTGATTTGCTTCTTCAGATGTGACCACCAGTCTTTCAGCCAATGCTTTAACCTCAACACCAACTCTTTTTCCCATCCCCTCCCTTCACCATCTCTCTCACCTTCACATAGCTTACTGATTAGAGTATTACTCGGAATGTCAATGTCCCGGGCTCAATTTCTCTAGCATGGAGAAACATTTAGGAAAATTTTCTTACACTCCAGCTGCCCCTTCCTGCAGTAGAAATAAGCACCTGTGTATTAGCTGATTATTGTGGGTTGCATCCATTGAAAAACTTGTTGGAAAACTCCAGTCCTGCTGGAATATCATCTTTGTAAAAAAAAAAAAAAAACTCCATTTCTGTAAGAAACTCCAGCAGCCACTGGAAGCATTTACCGGTAAGTGTTGGGTAAAAGGTATTTGTGTACCTAATGATTTTGAAATGGCAATCACTTCTGCCATGCATGACCCTGATGGGCCTAGCACTTTCATGAAAATAATAATATTGACCTCTCAAGGGAGGTTCCTTAATGCTGATGAGGAGCTCTTGATCTGAAGAATTTGGACTTGTCCTTCCCATCCAAGGGTCAAATCTGATTGCTTCCCATTCCCTAGGCACTGTCACCCCTACAGCTTAGAGCTTCCCCTGAACAATTTATAAACATTACACAGTAGTAGCTTCAAATAATACCACTTTTTTTTTTTTTTTTTTTTTAATTTTGGAGTTGTGCAATGTGTAGCTAATTAATTTCAGTCTGCTAATGGCAAAAAAAGTGCAGGATTCGAAGCTGTGTAACTTGCACTCCTTAAAAATTCTTATCTTGAAGCATTTATGCAGAAACTTCTGTGGTACTATATGTACAATCCCACGAATGACCATTTTCTACCAAATAAATCAACTAAATCACACCGGTGTTTAATTTTATCCCCCCTTTTGACTGTTGTCCCTACATACATCCACCTCTCAAGGGAGGTAGGTGCTTTGACAGTGGTAAACCTCTCTTCATTGAAAATATTACAGTGGACCCTCGACCAACGCTGGCATCGTCTAACGTTAAATCCAACTAGCGATACATTTTAACACAAAAATTTTGCCTCAACTAGCTCTAAAAAACTCGACCAACGAGATTCGTTCCGTCTGAGATGCATCCACTTGTGGCCAGTGTTTACAAGTCAGCCAGCCACCGCGGTCCCATCCAAACATACAATTGGAACATTTCGTATTATCACAGCGTTTTTAGTGATTGCACCTGTAAAATAAGTCACCATGGGCCCCAAGAAAGCTTCTAGTGCCAACCCTACAGCAAAAAGGGTGAGAATTACTATGGATATGAAGAAAGAGATCATTGCTAAGTATGAAAGTGGAGTGGGTGTCTCCGAGCTGGCCAGGTTGTACACAAAACCCCAATCAACCATCGCTACTATTTTAGGCAAGAAAACTGCAATCAAGGAAGCTGTTTTTGCCAAAGGTGCAACTATGTTTTCAAAACCCAGATCGCAAGTGATAGAAGATGTTGAGACTTATTGGCGTGGATAAACGAAAAACAGATAGCAGGAGATAGCATCTCTCAAGCGATCATATGTGAAAAGGCTAGGAAGTTGCATGACGATTTAATTAGAAAAATGCCTGCAACTAGTGGTGATGTGAGTGAATTTAAGGCCAGCAAAGGCTGGTTTGAGAGATTTAAGAGTCATAGTGGCATACATAGTGTGGTGAGGCTGCCAGTTCGGACCAAAAAGCAGCTGAAAAATATGTGCAGGAATTCAAGGAGTACATAGACACTGAAGAATTGAAACCTGAACAAGTGTTTAATTGTGACAAAACAGGCCTGTTTTGGAAGAAAATGCCAAGCAGGACCTACATTACTCAGGAGGAAAAGGCACTCCCAGGACATAAGCCTATGAAAGACAGGCTTACTCTGTTGATGTGTGCTAATGCTAGTGGTGATTGCAAAGTGAAGCCTTTATTGGTGTATCACTCTGAAACTCCCAGAGTGTTCAGGAAAAACAATGTCCTCAAGGACTTGACACCTCAAGTCCTAATGGAAGGGGATTCCCCTTCTAAACACTAACACCATCCACACACTCCCCTCCTCCCATCCCATCAATCATCACCAGATCTTCATTAAAGGTAAGTGTCAATTATTCTATTGTTATTAATCTATTGTTATTGTAATTATTCTATTGCATTAAACTTAATATTTCACGTAAAATTTTTTTTTTCATACATTTGAGTGTCTTGCACGGATTAATTTGATTTCCATTATTTCTTATGGGGAAAATTAACTCGAGTAACGATAATTTTGACTAACGATGAGCCCTCAGGAACGGATTAATATCGTTGGTCGAGGGTCCACTGTATTCCTATCCTACCTTTCTTTGGATTGAACCTGATGGCAACCTCTTCCCTGAATATTATATGACCATTATGGGTTGAGTTGTGCATACTATGGGCTCTTCAATGTACCTGTTATATGTATGTGCAGAGTGTACCCTGGACGAAAGAGAGGCGAGGTGAATGAAAACGTGGGTCTATGGAGTTAGCAAGTGGTACACTGAACAATTATGTTGAAATGCTTCCTGTTTTCTGGTCAGCATGTTTGCTCTAATCCTATTTTTGAGTACCTCTGTTGCCAAGAATGTATCTGTAATATGGTGTTTGCTGGTTTGGCTTAAAACGTGCCTGTGATATATCACAGGTTCAGATGTGAGCATACCCTTTATGATACCTTTCTGGAAAGTCTTCCCCTCAAAGAAGGTTCCTTGATGCTGGTGAGGGGATCTTGATTTAGGGAATTGAATCTGCTCCACTTCCCAGAATTAAGCCTGAATACCTTCCACATCCCCCCCCCCCCCACAGGCACTGTATAATCCTACGGGTTTAGCGCTTCCCCATGATTATAATAATAATCTGGAAAGATTTTGTACCAGTAATTACGTTCATAGTACCCCTGTATTTAGGTTGTGGATGCCTGTAGCAAACTTTAGTCATAGGTTCAAGGCCTTATTCTGTGGTGGATAGTGCTCTGCTGGAGATGCAGATGATGTCTTAACAGTTGCATCCAACTTGTCAGACACTGCAGCAACATGAAATCTTTAATCATGAACACTATGTTACTCATAAAACAGTCTTTGTAACAAGTATTCTGTTTTACAAAGATATATTTGGTTTTAGCTCTTAGTTTTGATTAACATAATAATAATACGAAGATGTCCATGTTGGTGAAAGTGTATCTATTGTTTCTACTGCACGTCTTCCCATCTCGCACAAATGGAATGCCCCTTTCCTCTTTTACTCCAGTACTCTCAGCTGTATAGCCCTTGTGGCTTAGCGCTTCTTTTTTATTATAATAATAATCCAGTACTCTCAAGGAAAGTATCTGGATGCTGGTGAGGGTCTCTTGATCTAATGACCATGTCTTATTCTCTCCTTGAATTGAGCTTGAATGCCTCCCATTTCCCAGGTGCTATATAATCTCTATGGGTTTAGCAGTCTTCTCCCCAATTAATATAATAAAGAGATCCCTCACTCCAATGAAGGAACCTTATGAGGCTAGAACATGACACTCAGCTTCTGCCAGTGAATGTATGGCAGGACATCACAATGATAGTTTCCAGAGCCAATGAATGCCAGAAGAGGTAAACCCAGTGCAGAAATTTGACCGATTCTGCTCACACAGCACTTGGAAGAAAATAATAAAGAGCTGACATAATAAACCACGTCTCCAGTAAGTAAGTAAGTTTATTCAGGTATACACAAATACAGTTACATAGAATTATCATAACATAGCAGCATATGTGTAGAGAGCCTAGGATAACCCAAAAAAGTCAGACAGTGACTTATTTCCATTGGGGTCCTTTTACCTTATTATTATAATATAAAGGTTATAATATTTTCTTATTATTCTATAATGAAGATATCTTACTATCATACTAAAAAGACTATCTACAATACGAGGGTCATTACTATAAATAAGGTAAAATTTACGCGTATGTTAGCTAAAAAATAGAAAATCATTCCCCTCCCTTTCTGTAGCTACATTCATCAGACACCTTTTGGCACTCTTTTTGAACTGGTTCATGCTATGACTGGCTTTGACATGTGCGGGTAATGTTCCATTCCTTTATTGCTGTACAATAAAAGGTGTTTGAAGCCTGGCCACTGACTGTGGGTACTACAAAGTTGTGCTCTCTCCCCCTAGTACTATGATTGCTTTGGTTCCCAACCTTGACAAAATTGACAGCAAGATATTCTGGATATTGTTTGTGAGCAATTTTATAAACATGATTTAGCTTCAGTTGTTTTACTCTGTCTTCAACATTCAGCATATCCAACTGCTGTAATTCATCCTGGCCTACATGTTCTCTTGGTCCCAGGTCCAGGATGAATCTTACGATTTTGTTCTGGGTGATTTGCAGTCTATCTTTTAGTTTTTTTGTCAAGGCAGAGTACCATGAAGAGCAAGCGTAATCCATATGACATTGTATAAGGGCTAGACATAGGGTCCTGCGAGCCTCAGTAGGTGGACACTGTGCTTGTCTATACAGGAACTTCAGTCTGGCATTCGCTTTCTTTACTACACTGTTCCCTATCAATTCTCCTGACATGCATGGGTCAAAGGGGATTCCCAAATATTTTACTGATGAAACCAAAGTGACGGGCTCCCCATTACACTGGACATTAAAATTATTTACCCTTCTCAGTTTATGTTTCGTGCTAAAGAGAATGGCTTCAGTTTTCCCGAGGTGTAATGATAGTTTGCTGTCTACTAACCATTTGCTGCAGGACTCCAGTTCCAGAGTTAAAACATTAGCTATATCTTGTGGGTCTTTACCTGACACTAACAGGGCACTGTCATCTGCATACAGTTTTGTAGATGAATGGTTCAGAGAACCGACATGTTGATAAATTAGACACGTGCAACTCTTGGGTATCTTTATTGAGGAAACGTTTCGCCACACAGTGGCTTCATCAGTCCATACAAAGGAGAATCTTGAAGAACAGGAGGAGAATGAGGTAATCAGTCCCTCAACCTTGAGTCGATGTGGTCAGTCCATCAATCTTGAATAGAATACGGCATACGTGCTGAGAAGGAGCTTATAAACCGTTGGCAGGAGAGGTGCAGCAGTCATAGGTCGTGTAACATTTGTTCAATGTTGAAGTAGGTCGTGCCCAAGAATTAGGCAAGCGAAGAATTCCCAAGTATTAAGATCCCAAGAAGTTGCTGTGTCTGACAGGTTTGTAGATGAATGGTTCAGAGAACCGACATGTTGATAAATTAGACACGTGCAACTCTTGGGTATCTTTATTGAGGAAACGTTTCGCCACACAGTGGCTTCATCAGTCCATACAAAGGAGAATCTTGAAGAACAGGAGGAGAATGAGGTAATCAGTCCCTCAACCTTGAGTCGATGTGGTCAGTCCATCAATCTTGAATAGAATACGGCATACGAGCTGTATAGCCCTTGTGGCTTAGCGCTTCTTTTTGATTATAATAATAATAATACGGCATACGTGCTGAGAAGGAGCTTATAAACCGTTGGCAGGAGAGGTGCAGCAGTCATAGGTCGTGTAACATTTGTTCAATGTTGAAGTAGGTCGTGCCCAAGAATTAGGCAAGCGAAACGTTTCCTCAATAAAGATACCCAAGAGTTGCACGTGTCTAATTTATCATTTGCATACAGTAGGAGTTTGCACTTGACACTGATAGGCATGTCATTGACATAACATAAGAATAATAAGGGACCCAGAATACTACCTAAAGGAATTAATGTACAATTGCTATGGATCCCATCACACATTGGATTACTCCTTCATGATAAAGTTGATATGTTAGCCAAGAAGAGTACCCAGAAGGAGAATGTAGAATATAACTTTGGTATAACTGTGTCTAGCATTAGGAATAATATTAGGAGAGAAGTAAATAATGAAAATGATTGTTATAGGAATGCAGTTAGAAGCCTGAGTAGATCTATAACCCACTATGATAACATGAACGTAGATAAGTATGTTTATGGAGCAACTTGCAATGTGAACAGACTGGCAATATAAACACAAATGCAGTATAATGTGATCCTTTATTGACTACGTTTCGCCCACACAGTGGGCTTTTTCAAGTCACAAACAGAACTACCTGGGGTGGAAGGAACGCGAGTATTTATAGTCCGGCTGAGGTCAGGTGAAGAATGCTGCATCTGATGATGTACCGAGTTGGGTTGTAGAGTCTAAAAACTTGGGTAGCTTGGAAAGGAGACTGGACAAGTTTGTGAGCAGACCTTCTACAGTGTTCTTATGTGGGATAGCGATGAAGAAGTTTCTTGGCAAGTGGTTCAGCTATGTTATAGAAGCCACTATTCTGGTTGAAGTTGTCGGATATAGAATCCTGGAATCCTGGAATCATCACTTATTTCTATATCCGACAACTTCAACCAGAATAGTGGCTTCTATAACATAGCTGAACCACTTGCCAAGAAACTTCTTCATCGCTATCCCACATAAGAACACTGTAGAAGGTCTGCTCACAAACTTGTCCAGTCTCCTTTCCAAGCTACCCAAGTTTTTAGACTCTACAACCCAACTCGGTACATCATCAGATGCAGCATTCTTCACCTGACCTCAGCCGGACTATAAATACTCGCGTTCCTTCCACCCCAGGTAGTTCTGTTTGTGACTTGAAAAAGCCCACTGTGTGGGCGAAACGTAGTCAATAAAGGATCACATTATACTGCATTTGTGTTTATATTGCCATTGTGTCGGTATTTTATACCATTTATTTCCATCGTGAACAGACTGACTGATGTTGTAGTGGCCAAGCTTAGGCTTGGTTACAAGTACTTCTGGCAGTTTGGGAGACACACAGATGATGATCAAACTAAATGTAAATTATGTGATCAGGCATATGGTCACTGTCTTGAACACTATGTCCCTCAAGGAAGGTTCCTTGATGTTGGTGAGGGGCTCTTGATTTAGGGAATTGGATCTGTGCTCCAGTTCCCCGAATTAAGCCTGAATGCCTTCCACATCCCCCCCCAGGCGCTGTATAATCCGCCGGGTTTAGCGCTTCCCCTTTGATTATAATAATAATAATAATTGAACACTATGTGCTTAATTGTCCACTTATTGAAGAATACAGAGACAGTATAATAACCTATGTGACATGTCAAGATATCTTATTAATGAAAATAAGATACCAGATATACTAAGCAAATTTCCTAAATTTGCTTGTAACAGATAAGTGAACTATAGATATGTAGATATAAATCCATATGTATTCCTGTTAACCCTTTGGGGCCTAGTTCCTAGGCCTTTTGTGTATCCATATGCTCTCGCGCTACCGTCCACAGGATGGATATGGGGTGCACAATAAACTAGTTGGTATAAACCTTGGTAATAAATACCGACAAGTTGGTTTAGAAAGACACGTAAGCAAACACTATAACATATTTATTAGAAAACGTTTCGGTCCTGGAACCTTGATCACTTCTAACATACAGAGGTAGATAGACATTATATATATAGGCGGAGAGTGAGATGTGACGCACGTGACCTGAGGAATGTCATAAGAACATAAGAATGGAGGAACACTGTAGAAGGCCTACTGGCCCATGCGAGGCGAGGGTAGACGATGAAATCACGTGACTCCTGTGTTGTTGGGTTGGTGCTGCTTAAGTATCATGTATGCCAATGTTTTTGAAATTTTGTAGTTTCCAGTGTTGCGTTCTATAGTGTCGGTGACGGTGATTAGTGAGGCTTCTAGGCACCGTCGGCGTCTGAGGTCTGGTTCGGTGAGAACGAGTTGGGCCTCGTTCCATTTCATCAAATGCCCCGTGGAGTCTCTGTGGAGGACACAGGCGTACCTTACATCGTCTCTGTTAGAGGCATTTCGATGCTCATTCAGGCGGACTGCAAGATCTCTGCCTGTCTCGCCTACATATCTCTTGCGCTTACATAACACAAGCCTTTACACGTCTTCAGTTCCCATCTTTCTTCATCCGAGATTGCAGACTCAAGGCACAAGCTATCCTCAACAAACCGCCCATGGAACAGCCCTCTAAACAGTTCATAGTACTCCCATGTGGCGATGTTGCCACGAATACTCGCCGGGCACTTGGTATGAGTAACATCAACGTTTCCACCATAAACACATCCTCTATCAAAGACCTCACTACTAAACGCAGCCCCACACCTCTAACTTCTACAGCAGGCGTCTACACTATCCCCTGTGGGTTCTGTCCCAAGAGATATGTAGGCGAGACAGGCAGAGATCTTGCAGTCCGCCTGAATGAGCATCGAAATGCCTCTAACAGAGACGATGTAAGGTACGCCTGTGTCCTCCACAGAGACTCCACGGGGCATTTGATGAAATGGAACGAGGCCCAACTCGTTCTCACCGAACCAGACCTCAGACGCCGACGGTGCCTAGAAGCCTCACTAATCACCGTCACCGACACTATAGAACGCAACACTGGAAACTACAAAATTTCAAAAACATTGGCATACATGATACTTAAGCAGCACCAACCCAACAACACAGGAGTCACGTGATTTCATCGTCTACCCTCGCCTCGCATGGGCCAGTAGGCCTTCTACAGTGTTCCTCCATTCTTATGTTCTTATGACATTCCTCAGGTCACGTGCGTCACATCTCACTCTCCGCCTATATATATAATGTCTATCTACCTCTGTATGTTAGAAGTGATCAAGGTTCCAGGACCGAAACGTTTTCTAATAAATATGTTATAGTGTTTGCTTACGTGTCTTTCTAAACCAACAATAAACTAGCCACTTCGGTGGCAAAATCTAAAAAATCTAAATCTTGGGAACTCCACATGTTATCGGCAGGGGTTCTGATTCCGTTTTGTTGATTTTGACAATTTGTCTCCTGTTGCTAAGGTAGGACTTAAACCAGTCTACAGAACCTATACCGATAGCTTGAAGTTTCTTACATAATATATTGTGGTTGACAGTATCGAAGGCCTTTTGCAGGTCTAAGGTTACCACACCTATGAGGTTACCCTTTGACATTTCAATTCTCAGGTAATCCATCAGATTAATTAGGGAGGTGTCGGTTGAGTAAGATCTAAAGCCCGATTGATAACTATGGAGAATGTTGTTGTCATTAAAGTACTTAACTACTTGAGAGTACACCGCCCTCTCTAGAATTTTGGATATTATACGGAGTATACTAACAGGCCTATAGTTGCTGACATCAGACCTACTATTTTTCTGGAAGACAGGAATAACTCTGGCCTCCTTGAACCCCTCCGGTACGGTATTAGTGGTGATTGATATATTTATTATGTGAGCAATAGGGATTGACAGTTCAGAAGCACCATCTTTTAGGAACTTAGACGGGATGTTATCAGGGCCTGTGCTCTTAGTTGGGTTTAACCTGCTTAGTTCTTTTTGAATAAAGGCATGAGATACACTTACTAGTTGACAACTGTTTGGGGTTACCCCTTTATTGGTATAGTATGTTTGAAACTTATCAGAGTCTGTGTTAAAGGTATTTGATGCAGCTGGTAGTTTACTTACTAGTGTTGATGCAACAGATGTGTAGTAGGAATTAAAGCAACTTCCAACTACGAGAACAAGGAAGAATAAAAAAAATCACAATACATGTGATTTGAAAATGATCCAGGAAGGACCAAAACGTTGTCGTGACTTCCCTAAGTATGAATTTTTGGTGAAAGAAATGGCCTTCAACCTAAAGCTGAAATTTGCTACTAAGCTTTCTCAAGTCTAGAGAAACTTGTAAGCAAGGATTGCATTATGCCATAGTGCCTTATTAACTACAGCTTCCTTCATTAGGCTTTATTTAGCTCTAGTCCACTTAAGAGAGGTTCCTCGATGCCTGTGAGAGGCTTTTCATCTAGTGAACTGGATCTGACCTTCCTTGAATCGATCTTGATTTATTTCCCTTCCATAAGCTGTATGACCCTGGTGGTTTAGCGCTTAGTTTTAATTATAATAATAATTCTCTTCCTTCAAGCGCTGTATGACTCCTATGGGTTTAGCTCTTGTCTCATGAATGCAATAATAATAATAATAATAGTGGCACCATTTTGCCAGTCAAACCATGCTCTGGAGCTGCTTGATTATGATTATAATGAAAATAATCTGGAGCTGATGACCCGGCACCAATCATTATTATATTTAGGCATATCTGTATTTTAAATCAATAAAACAAGAATAATGTGTTAAACGATATGTTGTTGCTACATTTAAGGAAATATTTAGCAATCAGGCGAGGTTTATACTGGAGTCATGAGTGCCATGGCCTCTGCCTGGAAATTATTGATCGAGTAATTTTGCGCACACCGATAATCACTGCCACGGGAGCATTAGCTTCTGCATGTTAGCAAACTCCTCGCAGGTAAAGTGGCCCAAGGATGGGTAGTAACCACTTCTTTCCCAGCCCTACACAAAGCTACCACAGACCCTTACACTACACAGAAATTACGAGAATGTTAATAAAATTATATAAGGGATATAAAGATACAAATAATGCACCAGTATTGATTGGATTTGTTCCATTGTAGTGAAGGCTCCAGGTAGCAGCCAAACGCTTTAGTACCGGCCCACGGGTCATGCACTCTGCACAGACTTCACTCTGCTTTTCTCTTTCTTATGTGGCTGCTGTCTTCCTGCAAAATGTTTGGACGTGACACAGACGGTGTATTCGCCGCTCTCTTGATGTAATACAACAGTGTTTTAATAATGAAGTGAGGTGACAATGCCATCAGTGGTAGAGAGTGAATCTTCACATGAGGATTGAGGCCACTTCAG